ATTCCATCAAGTGGCCAGGATTTAGGAAGGTGGTTTTCTCTAGGGTGGGCATGCCATGAAAATTAGGGGGTGATGGAAGGAGAATTGAGCCTGGGGAGGGTCAGTTTGGTCACAGCCCAGGCTGGGCCTCCACATTTCATGGGGTGAGCCAGGCTTAGCCCTGTTCTGCCTCCCCATGATGGAGCTTGTACCTTGATAATTGCAATGAAAGCAGCAATCAGGTTGGTAATTTTGCTGAGCTCTTTTCAGTTCTAATTAACATTATTCATTTCTTGTGTGTCCTGCTGGGTTGAGACAATCTGTGCTCTCCAGCCCAGCCCTCTGGAACACCAGCAATCTGCATAAGAGGCAACAAAAAAAGTGTTGTGTGCCAATTACTACACTTCAGTAATTAAAAACCTCCTTCCCCCCACTGCCTGCCCACCTCCTCTCATGTCATTTTTTTGTGTGCAAACTCGAGAAAGCAAAGAGAGAAATTCAGGAGGGCATGTCACTGCTGGTGTGTGCCATCTGTGTCTGCTCTGGAGTCGCAGGGAGGTGCTGGGGGCTGGATGCAGCATGGGTGGGATCAGTGGTCAGGGAACTCAACCTCAGCACCCTGCTGCTTGTTTATTCCTGGTACTTGTTTATGAGGCTGTTTTGTCCCCACTGATGGCTTTGTTGGCATTTTCAGCCCGGCTCATCTTTGTGCTCGCTGGCAGAGTCCTTGTGCTGCTGCTTTTCCTCTTCCAGTTTGTCTTTGAGCGCTGTCCCTACAGCCAGGTGGGCTGTTGGCTGCACCTGTGGGGCCCTGGGGATGCATGAGCTCAACCCTCAGGCTGTGGAAATGTTTGGGAATACCATTTGGGGGAGAGTGGCCAGTCCCCTAACTTGATAGAACAGAGTGGATAACAAAGCCTGGAAATTTTGGCTGTGGGAGATGTTGACAGAGGTGGAAGGGGCAGCTCCACTCTGTATCCCTTTGCACCCACCACATGTCATTAATCGGGGAGTGCAGGGCAAGGGATGAGCAGGTGGGTTGGGACAGGTGGGGAGGATGGAGATTCACAGCTCTCACCTTTGCTCAGTGTGTTTGACTGTAAAATGCCCCAATTTGTGGTCATTTTGAGGCACCCTCAGAGGTCTCAGGGAGCAGAGGGTCTGGTGCAGCATGAGGAGCTTCATCTCCCTACAAACCATCCCTTCCTGCCCCAGGGTGATGTAGCAGTGGTGAGTTAGGCAGTGCTCCCCTCTCCCAGAGGAGAAACCCCAAGGCTTGGGGCTCTGGGTTTATTGGGAAGGAAACAACAGAGAGGGGCAGCAGTATCCAGAGCAGCATCATCTCCACCCTGTGCTGGCACACAGCAGTTTTTCATCTTCCTGGAGGAGAAGTCCTTGCTGTCTGAGCAGGAGTGGAACAAGGATTAAGGATCTTGAGAGAGAAAATTACCTCATCTGTGCTTAATTGTTTTTAGATCATCTTTTTGGAGGCAAGCACTGCTTTCCGGCACCCCAAGGGCCTCTCCCTCCCCTCCTTCCCTGGCACATCCTGGGGTGAGAGGGAAAGTGAGAGCTTCCAGCGAGGTGGAGGAGGCATCCCAGGGCTTTGCACTTTGCCAAGAGCAGGGTGGAAGGATGAGAGGCTGTGGGCTCGGCAGTGGCTTTGCTCTCCACCTGTGCCTGGAGCTTGGCTTGCTGGCCAAAGGCAAAGGCTTTCTGCTCTGCTGCCCGCCTGTGGGAGAGGAGGCTCCCCATCCCTGCACCGGGCTGCTGGAGACAGGAGCTGCTGGAGGAGGCAACGAGGAGCAGATGGAGGGGCTGGAAGAGCATCGGGTTGCTGTGATGAGCCTCGGCCACGGGGACCCCCGAGGAGGAGGAGGAGCAGGAGGGGCTGGAAGGGCTGGAGGAGCTGGAGAGACAGGAGGGGCAGCAGGGGCTGGAGGGGCTGGAGGAGCAGGAGGGACTGGAAGGGCATGAGGGGCTGGAGAGGCTGGAGGGGCTGGAGGAGCAGGAGGGGCTTGAGGAGCAGGAGGAGCATGGGGGACTGGAAGGGCATGAGGGGCAGGAGGGGCTGGAGGGGCAGGAGGGGCTGGAGGAGCAGAAGGAGCAGGAGGGGCTGGAGAGGCTGCAGGGGCAGGAGGGGCTGCAAGAGCGGGAGGGGCAGGAGGAACAGGAGGGACTGGAGGAGCAGGAGGAGCAGAGTGCTTGGGAGCAGCTCAGGAAGGAGCACAGCTGCCAATCCCTAAATAGCCCAATGCATCCAGAGGTCAAAGCACCTCTTTCCCTGGAGCCGTGCTGTGCTTCATTATATATATATTTTTATATATATATATATGTCGGCTCAGGAGCTTTAAGAGGCAGGGAAGAATACAAAGTAACAGCTTGAAGCTTGCCGATCCCAGGGACAGGGAAGCGTGTCTGGATGATAAGGAGAGATTGTGCCCGGGTGCTGTGAAGGGCGACAGCACTTATTTCACTGTTGCCTCATGCGTTACCTGAGCCCCGTTGCTTTTCAAAAGCACTTAAATGCCCATATGATAGAGGGAATGCTTGGATTGCACACTGTCTGGCTCCATTATTATCCAAGGATCTCCAAGCTGCTGCATTTCATAAAGGATACTGGCATGGAGGAGGAGAGGGGAAATATATATTTTTAGTTCAGCCTGCTTACAGTTTCTCAAGGTAACGTCTGCAGAGGGGATTGGGTGAGAAATTCAAGTCATGTCTGGTTTCTCATCACCCAGCCCTGGACACCCCTGTGTCTGTGCAGAACCACCACCACAGGAGCCTATTTCATGGTACCAGAGCCAAACACCAAATAACCACTTCATTTCATTCGTGCCCCATAGGTCTGAGCTACCAGCAGAGCTGAGATTTGGAGTTCAATAGACTAAACCCATCCTCTGGGAAGAAATCTCCAGTTTAATTCAACTTGTGCAACTAAACTCTCAGGCCTTTTACTCAAGTTGTAATGCAGCTGAGAGCAAGAGCCAAGTTCTTGGTGTTCAGCCCAGACTGAATCTATTGCTTTTTTTAATGTAGATCATAAAAATCTGCTCACATTTAATTTATTATTATCGTAATATCATTATGGAACAGTAGTAAAGTGGTTTAATTTATTGGCTGTTTTTCACACCAGGGAGGGAGGATGGAGCAGGAGCTGGGTACTGGCAGCTCAGGGGTGTCCTGTGCTGCAGACAACACATTTCCTCTGTCACCCCCAACCCCCAAAATTTGTGTGTTGAGGCTGGGTGGGTTATTTTGGCTTCTCCTGTAATCACTGGGGCCAAAGAGGTTCCAAGAGGAGTCTGAATGAGATGGGATGACTTGTCCCCAGGTGGGTACCTTTGCGTTCCCTGGCATCAGTAATGGACACAGGAAGAGGAGTCTTCCATCACGGGTCATCAAGGTTGGAAAAGCCCCTAAGGTCAGTCCAACCATTCCCCTGTACTGCCAGGTCCTCCACAAATCCATGTCCCCAAGTGCCACACCTATGGGACTTCTAGATCCCTCCAGTGACTCCAGCACTGCCCTGGCCTTGAGCACCCTTTCAGTGAAGAAATATTCCCTAATATTCAATCTAAACCTTCCCTGGTACAACTTGAGGCCGTTTCCTCTTGTCCTATCGCTTGTTACCTTGCAGAAAATGTAAATCCCCACCCAAAGTGGGCTATAAGGAGCCCCAGTGAGGAGACTGCTCACCCAGAGAAAGAACAGATTCCCTAAAGTCCCATAAGGACAAGTCCATATGCCACAGATACACCCATCCTTGCCATTAGCTCCCCTGTCAGTGCAGTCTGGCACGTGGAGCCCATTAAGTCCCTTACATTCCTTGAAGTCACCCCGAGTGAGATGTCCCAGAGGCTGCTGGGCTCCCTGCCGGTGCCTCTGAAGTTAATTTGCATCCCAGCCACTGCACAAGTGATGAAGTAGTTTGGGGGAGAATATAAACAGTGGATCTTAGGCTGAGTGGTTTTATGCAGGCACATTATGCTCTGGAGCCAGCATCCAGCAAAGCGTGGCTAAATCCCGATGGCTCCGTAATCCCAAAATTTCTCAGACAGAAGCAGGGGTTTAGCTGGCTGTGGGGGCTGCAGGTTTCTGATGTTTAGAGAACTTCTTGATGCTTCTCTTGTGGCAATAGGAGGATCCAAATCTGGCTTGGGGACATGGGGATGGAGGGTTACAGAGCTGGCAGAAACCTTTGGGAGAAGCAGGGCTGATCCCAGCTAATGTTGACAGGAAAGTAATCTCCTTCAGGATCAAAATAATTTCTGGGTTTGCACTGTGTTGACTCCAGGGGGAATTCAGGTGCTTATTGAGGCTGAATATAGAGGATTTCTGCCTCCAAAACATCCCTGGATAAGTGAAATGCTCAGCTCACAAGTGAGGGAGGAGCAGTGGAGCAGGTGATGGGTATGGAAGGAAAAGTTGACAGAGGGGACAAATGGTCAGATATTCAAGGTTTCTCTTTAGAGGTGTGTGTCAGAGCTGGCTTTCTCCAAAGATAAATTTTCCTTGCTCCTTTGTGAAGCAGCACAAGCTTTCCCAATGCCATTTTGCATCTTTTTGTGGGGCTGCAGGGATGTGAAGGTCTGCAGAGAGAATGACAGGTCATGGATTTGGGCAAGAAGTAACAACCTGCACCCCTAAAAAAAGTGTGGACTTGGGATGGAGGTTTGGACTCAGCTCTGTTTGTCTGGGAGTTTGTGAAAGAATAAATTGGAATGGAGGAGTGAAAAGCTGGTACTGGGTGGCTCTGACTTCCCTGCATCTGAAAACTCTGTGAAGCTGTTGGTCAAATCTCTGGAGCTGCTGGTTTAGATGGATATTGGTGCCCTGAGCACTGCAGGAAAAGCACTGACCTTGTCCTCTTTGGACACTGAAAGCTCTTGGTCTCTGAAAGTGCTGCTGACAGCAAAGCTAAAAATAGTGCCAGGAGGACCAGGAGGGCTGGAAGGGAGGGAGGGAGAGCGCCCAGGAGCAGCGCACTGATGGGTCACCTCTCTGCCTCTCCCCAGGTGCTCCGTGGACAACCGGGTGACCCGGGTGGCCTGGCTGAACCGCAGCAGCATCCTCTATGCCGGCAATGACAAGTGGTGCTTGGACCCTCGGGTGGTGCTCCTGGCCAACACCAAAACCCAGTACAGCATCCAGATCCAGGATGTGGATGTGTATGATGAGGGCCCCTACACCTGCTCCGTGCAGACAGACAATCACCCCAAGACATCGCGTGTCCATCTCATCGTGCAAGGTAAGAAAAAGGAGTTTGTAGAGGGCTTGGGACTTTGCTTTCTGTTCCTTTTGCCTTGGTGTCTTCTTGTCCCATTGCTCCTATGCTGAGCATTTGACACAGCTTGGTGCAGAAGTAGAGGCTGATCCACAAGCTTGGATTGTCCCAAGCTGGGTAATGACTTTCACAGAATCAGAGAACTTGCTGAGTTGGAAGGGACCCACAAGGACCCACGAGGATGATGGAGTCCAGCTCCTGGCCCTGCACAGCACTATCCCCAAGAGTCACACCATGTCCCTGAGGGTATTCTCCAAATGCTCTTGAACTCTGTCAGGCTTGGTTTTATCCATCTTTGCTGACATAATCTCAGGGCTCTGATATAGGCAGCTCTGCCTCCCAACACAGTCACTGGCAAACCCGCGGTGCTGTTTGTTGTTGTTGTTGTTGTTTGATGTTTTTTTGTTTTCCAAGCTGGAGGCAATGCTTGAAGTAAAACTTGTGTTGGGGGAAAAGAGAGAGCTGACAGATTTGTGTGCTTTGTGGGAGTGTGTGTATGCCTAGCAACAATATGTGTTTGTGTGTTGAAATTCCATACTTTTGGAGGAGGAAGAGGAGGAGAAAGACCAGCACAGGGTGCTGGAGCTCTTTTGGTGGCTAAGGGGATGCCTACCTGTGCTCTTCAGCAAGGGTGTGAGCACACACAACTTCTTGAGAGGGGACAGACAGGTGTGGCCACATGGGATGGTCAAACAGATGGACATTCATGGAAGATTGATCCTGTGCCCATGTGGCAGGGCAAGGGCTGGACAAGGGGGAGCCTCGTGGAGGGACACACGGAGCCTGATGAGCTCTTAGCCTGGGGGAAGATTAATGGAAAATTCCTAATCCCTTGCTAGCAACCGTTTTTTTTTTTTCATGCTGCTTCTTCTGTGATTTGGCCAGGAGCCCTCTTAACATGACACACCAGCTTGAGTATTGGAATCTCGTCTCGGGCTAATTTTCGAATGCTGATGGGTGTATTGATTTGGAAACAAGCTGGGTTAAAAAGGCATTGGTCTTGTACACAGAGTCGGGTTGAGCTAATCCACCGTCGATATTCCAGGCCTGAGCGCTATTGACAGCCTAATGAATAGAAGTGGGGAAAAAACCCAGACTCAGGGCCTTTATTTTTCTTCTTCCCTCCCTTTTCATTTTCCTTTTCCTCTCCAAGCAATCAAGCTGACTAACCAGAGCCGGACTTTCTCCATCTCCATTAAGCACAGAGGGGAAGAGGATGCATTGCCAGCCCTGGTTCTGGCTGTTTATCTTGCAATCTCTTATTACCTGCCTGAATTTCTTAAGCCAAAGTCGATCACCAGCAAGTTCTGAAGTCGCTATCAGATGCTGGGGTGCTGCAGGACAATTTCTGTCTGTTCTCTTCTGATTCCCGTTTCCTGACCTAAATTTCCTGTATCACCAGACATCCAGACCCATCCCTCCCATGTCTCGCTGTATCATTAGGAAGAGATATTTGGGTACTGCAGGAAAAGGTCAGAGCTTAACTCCTTGCAGCAGTTAAGTATGGGATGATTCAGTGATGGGCTCAGTCCTGTAATGTGCTGAAGATCCTCAGAAATTCCAGCTCTGGAGAGCAAGCCCCCTAATTTGAAAAGCTGTTCTTTGGCTCACCCAGCCCTTTCTCAGAGCAGGACATGAAAGTGAATTATCATGTCCAATTAAAGGGAAACCTGCCTTAATGACCTCGATGAAAATTGGGCTGTGGTGCCAGGATTAACTCTCCTGCCTTGGAAAATGGGCCCTATAAATATGTATTCTGGAATAATCCTGTCCAAAACAACGTTCAGCTTGTGGGAAATGGTGCTTATTCCCCCTCCTAGGAAAGCAGGGTTGCTCAGCACCAGATTTCAGGGATGTGCCAAGTTCAGCACACAGCCCTGGGACATTTTGCCCCTTCCTGCAGCTGGATAAGAAAGGAGGGGTGATTCAAGGAGGTGGGAAAGGGGATGTCTCCTTGTTAACAGGTTTAGCCAGGAAGAGGAAGGTGTGCATGCTGCTCTAAGCAGGTCCTGAGTTCCTGAGTTTCCCCCTGCTGCACCAGGAAAGGGCCTGGGGGCAGGAGCACTCCGGCCTCTCAGGATGCAATTAAATCGTGCCCCGGGGCAGGCTGTGCTCTCCAAAGGGACTGGGTGCCCCGGGGCAAGGAGCTCTCCCCGTTCCAGCCAGGATTGCTCAGCCTGCTGCTCCCGAGGATGGGTGCATATCAGCCGTGCCTGCATCCCCCCTCCTCCCCAGGTTTAGGGGAAATCTCTGGGAAACAGCCATGGATGGAGGGCATCTGTGGTTTTGGCCAAGGGCTGCTGGAGGGAAGCAGAGCTGTGGGAGGGGGGAGAGCAAAACGCAGGAGAGGGGTAGGGGTGGGAGAAGGAGATTCCTTCAGGGTATGAGGGTCAGGAATGATCCCCAAGGACACAATGAGGTAGAAACACCCAGAAATGAGGATGCCCACACTGCAGCAAGGGGTGAGCTGCACGTTTATTTCTAGATTGGCTCTATTGGATGGCCAAGATCCCAAAATAGGTGGGGAAAAGGCACCTCAAGAGCTAATTTATCCCGTCCCCCTGCAACCAGGCAGAGACCTCGCTGCCAAGCACATGTGAAAGCTATTCTTGAAAATCTTTAACAAAGCAGGTTCTTCAGTCTCCCCAGACAATCTATTCTACTGCTTTGCTACCTTTTTAATTAGAAAATGTATAGCTAATATCTAACTTAAACCTTCTTTGTTGCAAATGGAGTGGAGTTTTTCTCAGCCTATTCCCAGTGGATGTGGGGAACAATTGATCAGTGTCCTCTGTAATAACCTTTTGCTTTTGGGAAGGTTGTTATCCTGGTGCCCCTTCGCTGCCTTCTTTCTGAAACCATCCAAGCTCTGTTTTTCCCCACTTTTCCTCATTGGCCAGGCTTTCAGAAACACTTGTCAGTCTTGAAATCCTGGTACAAAAGGGAAAAGGTGATTGCTGCTGATCCAGGAATAGCAGGTCGGTGCCTCTGTGCTAATGTGGGACAAATGAGCTCAGGACTGAGACAGCAGACCCTTGGCACTGAATGCACCAAAGTTCAGACCTGCTATTTTGGGGACTGCTCTAAATGGGGTCAGGCCGGTGGTGCCAAGCCGATGTCAGCCAACAGCAGAGCTGCCAAAGGCACAAGGAGGTTCTTAGCACCTGGATCTCTCCTGGGCAAAATGCACCCAGGTTACAGACAGAGCTAAAATGAGCAGCTCAGGGAGCATCCCTGTCATCTGCAGGTCTGGAAGGTGCTCCCACTCCTTCAGTGCTCATTCCTTCTTAGGAGGAGTTGCCATAAGACCAGACAAAGTGTTGGAACTCAGCACATCCCTCTGGGTGTCCAGAGTTGCCAGGGCCCCTGCCAGGGGGCTCAGAGACCCTGGCACAGAGCCCAGAACGTCTGTGGGTTTGATTATGACCCGTGGGGCAAATGACCAGCTTTGTATGAGGACCTGAAAGCCACAGAAGTTTAAGTAGTGTAATAATAAAATTATCACTAAGTGAAAATGTAGATTGTGGAATTTTTAGAATAGGGGTTTTGGGGACAAGATGGAGGGACTTGGGCATGTCCAGCCTTTCTTCTTTTTCTTCTTCTCTACCTCCATCTTCTACTGTGATGTTGGCACTTTGGGATTGGTTTAGAGTAGAAGCTCACTGTCTAACATAGGTGATAGGTATTGGAAAGTAATTGTAAATATTGTACACGTAGTTTGTAGTATAAAGAGATGACACCACCCCGAGGGCGGTCAGAGTGCTGCTGGCTGTCCTGCAGCTGGACAGGAGGAAAATTTTATAGATAAGATACAATAAACAACTCTGAGACCGAGAACTGAAGAACTCCAACTCATTCTTTGAATGCACGGGCTGAAACAGAGACTGTTCTCGTGTCTCAGGGCTGCAATAATCAGCAAACTCCCCAGAACAAAGCAGCAAAAAGCAGCACTGCCTGTGTTTGCAGTGTCTGCCTTGGACCTTGGGGAGAGTGAGGTGTTTTTGGGAGTAAATGCCAAAGAAACAAAATCCAAGGAAGCCCCACTTGCAATAGGCAAGCTGTGAACTTGGAGTGGGGCAGAAACCCAGAGTGAGAAGCAGGATTTAGGTCCCACTGACTTCAGAGGAGCAATCCTCTCCTCTCCTCTCCTCTCCTCTCCTCTCCTCTCCTCTCCTCTCCTCTCCTCTCCTCTCCTCTCCTCTCCTCTCCTCTCCTCTCCTCTCCTCTCCTCTCCTCTCCTCTCCTCTCCTCTCCTCTCCTCTCCTCTCCTCTCCTCTCCTCTCCTCTCCTCTCCTCTCCTCTCCTCTCCTCTCCTCTCCTCTCCTCTCCTCTCCTCTCCTCTCCTCTCCTCTCCTCTCCTCTCCTCTCCTCTCCTCTCCCACTCTGGTTTCCTCAGCAAGTCCTGCTTGCAGCAGCATCTCAGGCACAGCCTCCCCTTTCTCCCTGCAGGACATTTCAGCTATTTAAGCCGTTCTCTGGGTTCCTGGGTTTAAAGGAGAGAGGCGAGGTAGGAGGAGAAGGAGCTATCTGGAAAGCTGTTATTTGTATTGATAATAAGCCGTCTCCAATGCGTGCCTGCTAAACACTCCCACTGCCTTGTAAGATGCATTAAGGGAAGTTGGCCTTATCTCAGTGCAGGAAATGGACTTGGGGAAGGAGGCACGGAGCCTGCCAGAGTTTAATCTCACTTAGGCACACGAATTTGCATGATAGAAAATGGTGGAATTTTAGTGCTTAAAAAGAAAGAAAGAAGAAGAAAAAAAAAAGGCAAAAGCAGGCAACTGGGGGGATATTAGCGCTTTCCCTGCTTCTTTATCACTTTCCCTGGCCCTATCTGGCTTTTGCTGTTGTCACTGGAGAAACTAATCACCCCTCCCCTTTTGTTTGGTGTAAATGAGTTTTCCCCACTCCTTCCAGAGCCCAGGTTAATCTTCAAATCCCTGCCTTTGTCTGGGAGTTAATTA